GAAGGCTATTTTCCAATTAGATCGGGGCAGTTGGGATCGGGAGGAAAGGATAAAGGAGGAAATAACGAAAGCGGGCCTGATGGAAACGAGAAAGAATCAAATTTTTCGTCTTCGCTAATTTCGGAACTTACGAATCGTAACTTGTTAGCCGTTACATTACCGACTCTCGCACGCTACTGCAAGCATTTGGAGCATGCGTAAATCAATCTCATCCATACACGTCTACTTTACGTAACTACTCAGTTTTATCAGTAGACCGTTTAATGTGACAGCGTCTTATTTTAACGAGTTTGAGCGATGCAAAGGGAATATGAGTGCGCTTCAGTGACGTCAAAGCTCCACGCTGATAGTCATGGTGACCTCCTCGTATCGAGTCACCATGGAAGACGGGAGCACTCGGAAGTAGCGGAATGGTGTGGTAGGTAGAGGAGCCATTTTGTGTTAATAAAAACTCATTTAAAAAAAGTTTTTAGGGATTACTGCAAAGAAAACCAAATTTTTTCTTTCGAGACAATTATTAGATAAGTCATTTTTCCACTGCTTAAATTTCCACAGTTTAGAAAGCTCGCAATTATTCCAAACTGAGAATACAAACACTCCTGGTATAGTAATTTCAGATTTCAGGATTAGCGCCAAACTGGAAAATTTTACTTCTTTCGAGGTTTTTTGTTGGACTTTCCATCGGCGGCACAATTGTTGGGGTATGCACATATGTAATGGAAATGCTTCTGCCGGAGCAACGGATGGCTCTGAGAGCTTTCTTCAACTGGGTAATCCTAGTTTTATACTAAAATTAACTCAAAAAAAAACAAGTCATACGTTTGAATCTGGATTCAAGGCCACAAATTAGGGTACGTTTCATTTCATAATTGCAGCTCCTACACAAGCAGATATACAGATAAGTACATACAGAAATAAGCATGATTTTTTTATAATGCGCTTTTGACTTATACAAAGAAATACTAAAAGAATGACTAGGTTATTTTTGTCAAAAATTTATTAGTTTTACCGCTTCTACCAAAATTTCCTGCATTTACCCTGCCCACAGGGAACAATCGTGACTACATTTTTGCTTACGCTTTTAATTTGCGAATAAGAAAAAACTGTTTTTTCATAAGAAAATGAACAGCTAGCGCAGTGTATGCTCAAATTCAGCCACTAAGCAGTAAGTGTGAAATTATCAAGTTCATTCTAACGTAGATCGCAGGGTGTTGCGAGACTTATGCTGACCGTTATATGCTATTTGCTACCGGAATGGCGCATTGCTAGCTTCGGAAATGCTATTGCTGCACTGCCAGCACTTCTCATTGTGCTATTCATTTTTCCGGAAAGCCCGACGTGGCTTCACAGTAAGGTAAGAGTGTTGTACAATTTTTAAAGCTAACTTTCTGAAAAAATACCAAGACCACCTGAGCAATCGAGTGAAAATCTCTTTTTAATAATATTACTAGAATGCATTCACATGTCGGGACACAGCTCTGTCAGGCTGTTCGATCCTCAGCTACTTACCTGAGAGATATGCATTTTAGCACAGAAAACATAATTGGCCAACGCACGGGCTGCCCGTACGAAGATGCGTTTTTTGCATGGTTCCCCGCAGTTTCT